TTGAAATAAGATTACACAGGCAACTATAATTTTATTTTTTTCTTAATTTTTGTTTGCTTGACTTTGCAACATTTACTTGGCATTTACAGTCACCTTGTGTATGTGTGTAGTAAGTATAAATAGAATAATTTAATACACTTACTATTTATTATACAGCTACTTTATCATGTTATCTTAGTGACTACCTATTATGAATGTATTATTTTCATGGGGAGAAATACGTCAGAAATATACCAAGGTCTAATGGCTCAAAGACAAAAATGATACATTGATTTAAAACTCTTACCACAGTTTTATTTTCTTATACCAATCATCTTTTTCTTTCTTTTGTTCTTGGTTTCTTTTCATTTTCTGCAAAAGTTAATGCCTAAACTTACTCCTCCTGGTAATTCTAAAGCTGGATTAGCAGTTTGTAAAGTACAGTTAAATAATCTGCCACTGAGACAGAGGAGCTGACATGGGCAATTTACATAATGATATTTCCCGTCTTTCAAGGTAATTTTTACTTCAAACAAAGATAGATTGACAAGCACGTGAATCAAACAACATAGAAAATAATACAGAGGAAAATTATGATGTTTTTCAAACATAAAACCAGCTGTGGATCCATAGAATTAGGGTCAAAGCTAACAAATAGGTGGCAAAAGTGTGCAGGAGTGATTTGTAATCCTAAAAATGAAACCAATCACAAGCTCTCTTTCACTAGTTTAAATACTTACACAGTATGCCTGCACTGGTCCTCTAGATGTGGTGGCCTGTGAAATTTTCAAAAATAGTTGGTGAATTTGGGTCCCAAAACCTGGGACGCTTTAGAGACGCCTAATTTTCAGAGGGCATGTTTTCAGCACACGCTGAAAATCAGGCTTCCTTAAAACCTCTCAAGCTTTCAGTCCTGATCACCAGGTTATTTGGGTTTGGGCACATGGCTGTCATATCACCAAGGGCATGAAAGGTGTGGTTCCAAGGAAAGGAGGCAACCTGCAAACATCTGTGTCTCTGTGATGCAGCCAAAGCAACAAGGAAATGTACTCACAACGTGTGATAAGGAAGTGGAGCTGGGCTTCAGACCAAGCAAATTTTGCCCTGACTGGCGCTGCCATTTAGCCCCATGCCAAGAGTGTCAGCAGGGTCTAGAACAATGATCCATGCAGAGTCTAGCACAATGATCCTGACTAGGGCACTGCTGTATCACAAAGCCATGGTAACACGGGTATTGGAAGAGCCCGTGTGGGCGGAGTTCTGTCCCAAATGTTCCCCAGTCTGAAAGCCCTTCCCACCCCTAGTGTTTTCTCTTGCACCTTTCCCTGCATTTCCCTGGTTTCCTGGGCTCAGATCTAAAGCCTAATGAAGTCCGTGGCTGTCTTTCATGGACTTTGACAGGCTTGGGATCAAGCCCATGGGAGCTCTGCAAGGTAGGGATCAAGGCATCTCTTTATGAATCCATACAGCACAGGGCACTCCAGGGGCCCTGTGGAAATAACTAGCTAGCAAATAACCCTATTTGCAGAGAGCTTAAAAACTAGTCTGGAGAGGAGCTAAGTATCTGGGTCTCATTTTAATCGAGTCAAGTGACTGTCACCTGTTCTGCAGGACCCAGCCATGCTAGACTAATCCTGCTATAGCAGACCGGTCAAGGTTAGCAAAGCCTCTGGCTGAAAAGAAGCAAAAGCCAGTACTTACCCAACAGGCAACATATGGTCCAAAAGATCAGAGCCTTCTTTATGAATAACTCTGCAAGCTGGAACATGAGCTCACGCAGTGGTTCTCCAGCCCAGGTGAAGCAGTTCTGAAGGACACAGACTTCTTGCTGCTTCAATTCTGGTCTATGCTGGTTGCCCTGTAAAAGGCTGCAGAGCTATGACCTGCCTGCATTTGCATTTAAGCTCACCATGCCAACCGTGCATTTGTGCACCTCGGTGTGTGAGTGTGTGCAGGTCTGTGTGTATGTGCGCATGCACATATGTGGGTGAGAGGAAGCAATCAAGCTCCCAAATGCCTTTCACCTCCTGTCTACACACACCTCAGTGTGCAAAGGTGCAGGAGCTGGAGGGCTAGTAGATCCTCAGGTTTCTGAACTAGAGCCAGCAGCCTGCTCCCTGTTAAGAAACTTGCTGCCTAGAAACCCTTGCTAGCCTTTCCCACTCCTGAGCCTTGTTTTTCTGGTCAGGTGACTCTGTTCTCTTATATTTTAAAAGGTAAAACCTGTGTGTGTACATGTGTGGAATTGTATAATCACTGCAAATAATGCTCCTTGTTATTCAAGAAGCATCTTTGGGTGCTTCCTTAAACCACAAATCACCCACTTCACAAGCTCCGATGCTGTTCTAGCCAATGGGCATGCTGAGCCCTTCCCCCTTCTGGTTGGAATCTGAACTACAACTATATGTCTTGGCCTCTGTATTAGTGGTTAGTCTCTAAGGTGCTTCCCTGCCCTGCCTTCAACATCAGTATTGCTCAACCTTTTGATGTTGTGGGCCCGATGAGTAGCACAGGCTGGATTAGGCACTGTGCCACATCCACTTGGCCCTTTGCTTTTAAATGAAAGCTGAGATATTGACCTAATCATCTGATGCTGGGAACTGGGGCTTTAAGAAAATCATCAAATATCACAAGACTTGCAATGAAATCACCAGAGTTGTCATTGCTGTGTAGTCTCTATCTAACCTGAATGACTGTAACCTTGGAAAAGTTCACAGGCATAGTCTGTGTGTGGGAGCTCTGCCGCCACTGCAAGTGAATTTTAAGGGGACCGTTGCTCCTAGTCCTTTCTCCTGCAGCCACAGAGAATAGTCTACATCCTTCATCTTTATAACCATCCTTCAGGTATTAGAAGACCATTACCAAATCCCCCCTCAGTCTTCTCTTCTCTAGACTAAACAATCCTAGTTCTTTTAGCTTTTCCTAGTAAGATGTATTTCTCAGACTTCTAATAATTTTGGTTGCTCTCTGCCAGACCCTTTCTAGTTTGTCCACATCTTTCTTGAAACACAGGATCCAAAATTGGATGTAGGACTCTAGGTGAGGCCTCACCAGTGACTAATAGAGTAGGAAAATTGCTTTCTTTCACTTGCAAGTGACATTGCTGTTCATACAACCCAGAATGTTCTTCAATTTTTTTTTGCAGCAAGAGCACATTGTTGGCTCATATTCAGATTATGAACTACTGTGATCCTCCAAACCTTTTTTTTACAGCATTGCAGCCAACCTGCTGTTCCCTAGTCTGTATATGTGCCTCAGTTCTTTCATCCAAAGTGAAGCACTTTGCCCTTATCCTTATTGAATATTATTTAGTTGATTTTTGGACCCTTTCTCCAGTTTGCCCAGGTCATTCTGAAGTCGAGCCCTACCCTCCAGTGTCTGGAATTCAACCCAGCTTGATGTCATTTGCAAATATGCTAAATGTGTGCTCAAGATAATTCTCCAAATCATTAATGGCAATATTAATCAATACTGAGCCCAAGACAGGCCCCTGGGAAATCCCAGTTGATACCTCCTCCCAACTAGATCTTGAGCCATTGATGCCTACTGGTTCAGCATGATGATCCAACCAGTTGTGTATTCACCTTACAGTACTAGTCTGTATATCTAGTCCGTATTTCCTTAGCTTACTAATGACAAATCCATGATGGCTATTCCTGATCACCTTGTTCTCCTCCAGGTGCTTAGAAATAGATTATTTGAGGACCTGCTATATGATCTTTCCTGTTATCAAGGTCCAACTGACTGGTCAGTAATTCCTCAGGTCCTCCTTCTTCCCTTTCTTAAAGATGAGCACTATACTTGTCCTGTTCCTGTCATCTGTGGCCTCACATGACAACCATGAGTTCCATGAGTATGCAAGCTATGGCCCATGGCCAGGCAGTGCCCCGATGCACTTAAAATCTTCTGCATCTCTCTTATCTCACTGTGCCATCAGATTCATTAAGCACATCTATTCATCAGCACAGCATGTGTCTCATCAGATAAGCCCTTTGTTAAGGTGTTTCCTAGCTGAAGCCTAAAAAATTGTTTCCATCTTTCTTCCCTTCAGAATTTCAGTTACCACCCTGTGTTGATAGCTGCTTGTCACTGGTGCTGACCCTTATTAGTACATGGATGATGGTGATTGCACTAGTTCTCAGTAATCATCTGAAAGGCTTTGAGAATACCACCTAAGGCCTTGCTTATTTCTACCCCCATTCCTGCCCTCTCACAATAGGCTTCTCTTCAAGTACACAAAGTTAGATTTGTTTAAAAGTATTTAGGTATTTGACAGTGCAGAGATGTGAATAGTGGGTTTCTTTAAGAGTGTGCCTAATTCATGCTGTCAGGTACCCAGGTCGTAGCTGTATTGATCTAGAGGAAAAAACAATCAGGACTCGTGGTAGAGGTGGTATCTTTTATTAGATAAACTAGATTTTTACAAAAAAAAAAAATCTTTAAAAGCAAGCTTTCAGGCACAAACACCCTTCTTCAGGCAGAGGAGAAAAGACTGTAAAAGTTCTCTTGGGTAGAAACGAAAGTTCATATTTCATAGGAGAGCTGAAGGTGTGGTAAAATCTCCTGTTTAGAACAGATCATTTTAGATGCAAATTAGGCTCAGAGAAAAGTTGGTATAGTCTGTTTACCTCAAAGTTGTTTGATGGTAAACAGGATGTAGTCATATTTCCTTCTGGTTGTGGTGTTTCATATTCCACAGAGGAGTAAATAGAGGGAATGCTTTCCTGGGCAGGCATTTCTTATGTGGTGAGATACCTATGAGCTCTGTGGTGAGGCTCTGTGATGATACAAATTACCTCAAACAAAGGCAGGAGCAGGATCTCAGGTTTCAGGTGGTCAAACTTGCTTCCTCCTTGTAGACGTATGAAGATTTCATTAAAAAAAAAAATGGCTGAAATTCGATATCTTCAATAAAGCTTGCAATTTGATAAAGCTTGCAATTAAAGATTTTTTTTGGAAAAAGTCTGGTTGGTCTCATAAAAGATATCACCTCTACCATGAGTCATGATTGTTTTTTTCCTCTAGGCCAATACAGCTAGAATATGGATACCTGACACATGGAAGATATAAAATTTTAGCTGATTTTTAAAAAATGAAATCCTCATAATGGAACAAGTGGCATTTAAAGCACAGCTTTCATGTGGGTCACCACTTAGAACTTGGCATCAAAGGGGGGAAGGGCAAGAAATCCTGTGTTCTGCAGATTTTGCCATTAATAGATTTTAAGGCTAGAAGGCTTGATTGTGATTAGCTGCTCTGACCTCCTGCCTAGCCCAAGCCACAAAAAGTCATCCAATATGCAGTAATTAACTGTACTGAGCCCAATAACTTGTGAACCAAGACCACTCATGAGTTCTGACTGCTGGGCCTGTGCTCTGTCTATGAGGCTAACCTCCCTTCCGCAGTATGGGCAAAATGCCCAATGGAAAACAAAGGCTCTTCAGAGTAAAGGCTGTCTTCTAATGTGTGTAATTACAGAGCATCCTGCCCCAGAGTCTGCCTTTGAGTGTGGTACAGGGTCAGAGAGCCTGTCTAGAGAGGCACCAGCTTCAGAGAATATATTCAAACCAGAGAAATCTGTGGCTAGGGTGGAGCTGGATTCAGGATCTCCCAGCCTGCAGTGACAAGACTACTGTACTACATTTCCTCAGGTCATAGTTTCATCCTGATGCAGAAGAGGAAGCATTTTTAGATCTCAGTGTTTTATTTGTATGACAGAAACCCATTTCCTGCCCACCTGAGCTTGTGATTGCTCATGCCTGCCCTACCTGTGTTTCAAAACCCCTTTCAAAAAACACACAGATGCTAATGCTTATTCTCTGGGGACACTGGCAGGGAAAGGGGCTGGGGTGGGTGTGGCCCCGTGGTAGGTTGTGGGATGCTTAGAGCCTGGGAGGTTTGTCCAGGGTTGTTTGGGCGGGAGGGGTGCCACCACTGTGAACACCTTAGGAGAGGCTGGGGGGGCACATGACCTCTAGATTTGTCTGCAGGGCAGAGGCAAGCTGCTGCTGCAGGCTGGGCTCTATGCCCCACTGCCGCTGTCAAGGGTTTGGCAGTCTAGTGTGGCTGGATGGTCCATGAGTGGTGGGGTGGGCAGCAGAGGTTAGGGGGCTAAAAATAACCTGGGGTCGGGGGGTGGGGGCTAGGAAAAGAGCAGCCCCGGGGCTGGGGCCAGTGGCTGGGCTTTCCAAACCCCAGGGCTGTGCTGGGAACTGTACAGAAGTTCAGTTAAATCAGTCTTGTCAGGCCTGATCTAAGTTAGACCACCTCAGAAGCAGGGCTAACTTTGATCAGGTTGGCCATTTTTAGACCAATCTAAACTTCCTGAACTTCTGTACAGTTCACAATTAGATCCCTAGTTACGTCAATCTAAGTGTAAGGTCCATACCTGGGTGAACTAAGTTAGATCGGGTGGCCATTTTTAACTCAATCTGTCCTCCCCCTAATCTCCCCAAATGTCTGTACCTAGCCTGCCTTCCTGGCAGAGCCCCATCTCCCAGTTAACATGTGGTAACACCTATGCCCTCAGCAGCAGTGCCCAGCTCACTGCCCACAACCCCACAAGGCAAGATACCCAAACCTGACCATAAAGTCCAAACCAAACAGACACACACACCCAAAGCTACAAGGCTTCACCCTCCTCGCTCTATGCTGTGTTCAGGAGGAGAGAAGTGAAAGCAGCCAGAAAAATGCAGAACACAATTTATTATCAAACACATACACACATGGGAGCTTGCTCTTACATAGAGTGGGGCCTCAGGCACCCAAAACAAAGTAATGAAATGATATGGGGCAGGGTATGCCTATGGTTTTCCTCCTTTTGCAATTTCCTGCCCCTAGGGCTTTTAGAAATGGCTTCTGTGACCTGAGTGGCCAAATCTTGAACCTCCTGATGACCTTGCTTTGGCACTGCCAGCATGTGTGACCAGAGTTCCCTTGAGGTGGAAGTGTCTATTCATTAATGTGTCCTTCTCTCCTTCCAGCTCTGTGAACTCTGGAAAAGGATGGTTTACAGGAACTTCTCTGCACCCTCAGCACAGGGGCAGGTGGAACAGGGACCCAGCCTGACCTGACAAACTGGGGTGGGAGGAACTCCAGCAGCAGGTGTACAGGCAGTGGGTGCAGCCTCCTGCCCAGGAGCAAGAGAATCCCAAGGATTTTCAAGATGGGCTCAGTAAGCTCATGCAGAGATCTCTGTGACAGGGCTGCTCCCAGGACCAGGTCCCTGCATTCAGTGGCTCAGGAGGCCCGTGCCCCTTCCCATCTGCCTTTTCCATGAAGTGATGCTAAGCAATCCTGAGCCATGCTGGGTGACCACATCCCAGACATGTCTCCATTGCTCAGGACTGCTGAATCACAGTACAGCCCTTGTCTACCATGACCCCCAGCCATATGGTCCCATTGAATCCCTCTCAACCCTAGCCTTGCAACACTGGGAGCATCATCCTTTCCAAATCCTGTCTGGGGAACCTGAGGCACTGGCTGATTAACAGCCTGATCCTGCTTAGCAACAGCTTTACCATTCCTTTGGGGGGGGGGGGGGGGGGGAGAAAAGG